TATATTTATTTAATTGCAAGTTAATATGTAAATTTTGTGTAATTACATTTTAATTCAAATGTATCAAGTTGGTATATCATCCTTAATGAGATGACCAATAGTAAAAATTTGTATTTAAAAAATATGTATTTAGAAAAAATCAACTATATATCTTTTACTATCTTGTAATCTTTTGTTAGAAATCTTGTTTCTTAACTGTCAATAATTCAAATATTATCTTTTGTTAAAATTAACTAATTCTTCTAAATCAAAAATCTGATTTATTTATATAATTAGTTAAAATAATTTTTTTAAAATTTATAAAAAAAAATTACTAAGCAAAGTTCTTTCTGATTCTATATAAAGTTGTAAAGAAAGTTTTTCTGATTCTAATGGTAGCCAAATTATCAAAATCGAGTTGATGGTTTCCAAGATATTTAGAGTTAAAGGCACAAAATTACAAGATAGTAAAGAAAGGAATTGTATCTATTTTTTTAAATAAATTAAATTTTAATGATTTTTTTCGCAAAAAATATATATATAAAATTTAGTGTGTCAACTCATTTGATTTATAAGTAACAGCAATAGAAGCCCCGTTTAAGGACATGTCTTGTGACTAGTATAAGTTGATGTATTCATAAAGGCATTAGACTGTTAAAATTACTAATCTATTTACAAAATATAATATGTCGTCTGCATAGTTTAAAAATAAATTGCTAGACAAATATATTGTTCATTTCCATTACTAGTTATCCTATATAATAAAAATTATTGCGTGTATGTAAATGAATTCTCATTAATATCAAAAAAAAATATTATTTGTAATCGATCTCAATATCATTTTCAACAACTATCAGAATAAATTTTTCCACAACTAGAAAATTGGACTCAATCAAATCGAGTTCATGAGAATGGTAGTTTAGACTATTATTGTAATTTGATTCTTTGCTTTCTTGAGCTCTCACATCACGAACACTCTGCAGTACCTTAATTTTGGTCTTTCCGATATCATTTTTGTAAGGGATTCCCCAAAAATTAGCATCTGCTGTATTAAAATGGAGCCAATCTGGAAGCAAACTATTATTTGGTTCAGTGACAGCCTTAATAAACGAGTGACGTTTATGACGAGTAGAAGAACGGACTAAATTTTTAACAGAATATTGAAATAAAACGCCTAATTTTGCATAAAGTACCGGTTTTGTAAGCTCAATGTTTGGATCACTTTTTAAGACTGTTGATGAGGCAGTCTGGGTGATATTGTCGCATGAGGCAGTGGCAGACGAACAAGAATAGACGGAAGATGTAGTCCTTTTGATTAAATTTAGTGGAGGGACTGCAGGTGTATACGAGCCGATGTCTATTGGATTTGGAGTCTGTAGTTCAGAATCGTTCAAATTTGAGGGACCCGGTATAGAGATTCCTAAACCCAAAGAATCTACGTTTTTAAAATTGTGGGATCCAGAATTGCTATCGTTTAATGGAAATTGATTTACAGTGCCATCAGAGAACAAGGTTGATTCATTATAATGTACTTTGTTTAACTCTTCAGGAAGGATATCACACATTTTACATCTGTATAATCTTAATTCGTTTGGTTCATTGAATGGATAAGAATGAGACATTTCTACAATTCCGCAATGATCATGTTCATGATGTTTTGGAGTCATTGAAAGGAAATTAGGTTGATTGCGCAAAGCCATTTTTTTAGCCCATTTTTTCCACTTTTTGAAAAGAATAAAACCAAGCACAGAAAGAATGAAAATACCAAATGCGACGGATAAAACAATGATTGTTGCTAAAATTTTTGGTGGCATGTAATTAATACACATCTCACCCTCACAATCTGAAACAAGAATGCGCATAGTGGTATTTGTGCTTCCGTACCCAGGATCCGAGATGTGTAAATGTACAGTAGTGTTTTGAACAGCATCTTTAGGTGGAGTTCCAGATAGTTTTCGTAACTTGTCATCAAATTTAACCCATTTTTCAGTATCAGTCGGAACAAAATTTGCGGAAAATACTAATCTATTCGTGTCGCCACCATTGGATAGCACAATGTAATAAGAAGTTGTAGGAATTGTATATTGAAAATAAGTACCTATGAAAGTTTGAATATCAGGTAAAGGCCTCACGATTATAGGGCCGGGCCTGTCAACTTGTGACTGTGACATTATGGATTGTTGCTTTGAAGGTAAATCCTGGAAAATATCAGAAAGATCAGGAATCATAAAACTATTTGGTGGCATCGTTTTCACTATATTTATACGATGTATATATCTTCCTAATTTTGTTTTTTTTTGATCGCCTTAAAATATCAACACCTTTATTTATTAGAATCGAGCGGATATGCGGTTTGTGATTGATGATGATAAATGCACTGTATCTGATATGATTTATGGATTCATAATTTGTTAATGATTCAATGACACACTTTTGTATATATATTCATAAAATATATCTTATTTTTTTATTAATCAAACATTTAATACATTTAATAGATAATAAATTATTTTAAAAATCAATTCACGTTTTATCCACCTTATAGTCGATTACTCGTTAGGTATAACGACCGTCTTAAATTAATGTTAATTCCAAATCTTGCATAAAGTCGACTAGTCGACTACTCTAAAAGGTTTTTAGGTTTATAACGTTAAGGCAGTGATGCAGTAGAATCGTCCCAATGATTTCTGTAATTAGTTACGACATAGACTTTAGCTAGTTACGGCTTAAGTCGTAATATAATTGGGACGATTCTACTATATCACTACGTTAGGGCCTTAAATTGTTATTGTATATTGAATGTAAAGTCTAATGTACTTATTTATTTGATTTAACATTCGCGTAATGGCAATATATAAATTATGACAATAATTAGTTCTAGGATTGGATGTGGTTAGGGTTATACTAAAATTTTTCAAGGAATATTTTTTGTTAAAAGATGTTTTATAACCAGGATTTTGAGATATCAACATACCTCGCCCGAAACTTGAGGTAAGAACGTCTCAAATAAGGTGGATGGCTAAAGCCAGGTTTGTTTATATGTTTTTGATTATTTGATTAAAATTAGGGCAAGGGTTAGTTAAGGGTTAGGTTAGGGCTTATTTTATAAGTAAAATCGTCTTTCCGACATTTTTTATTGGGTATTGTAATTCATCGCAATAGTGATTGGGGTGTTGCACATTATATCATAGCTCAGCGTTATATGTAATTTACATTATGTAAGATTTTTAAATTTTTTTATCATTATAGTAATTTATTAGTAACTTTAAACCGTTTAACTCTCATTCTAGTAAAGCAAATTCATTTTTGTAACTTGCAAATGATATTAGAATCATGTAGTTTTAAAACTATATTGAGACATTTTTAAATTTTTATTTTTTTTTTAAATATTAATGAACATTTTTAAATTTATAAAGTGGTTATAATTTACAAGTTTATACTATAGAAACCTGAAATATTTACATAGGATTCTTAAATATTACAATATAGTTTTATAGTCACATTGCTTAAATATCATTTATAGTTTACAAAATTGAATTTGCTTTACTAGTGCAAGAGTTAGAATATTTTAAATATGGATTTAAGTATAATACATATATATAATATCAATATAGTATTATTAATTTAAATTTACACTTAAAACATTCTAACTTCCACATTAGTAAAGCAAATTTAATTCTGAAATTGTAAATGACATTTAAGTAATGTGGTTATAAAACTATTGCAATATTTAAAAATTCTATATAAATATTTTAGGTTTCTATAATATGTATACTTCTTTAACAGTAATCATTGGAATTTTGATTTTTATGATAATTAATCTAATTGAATAATAATTGTAACTACATATAAAACAATAATTTTTTTATATACAAATCAGTCTTTACATAGTAGGCAAAGTTGTTTAATATAACAATTAGCATATAATTTAAGAATTTTAGAAAATTTGATAAATTTTTTGAGGTTATTTTTAGCACTTTAGGTCTTAGTAAATGAAAAATAAAAAAAAATAAATAAAACTTGTTTATGATAACACATTCTTAAACCATATTATAAACATTTATTGAAATTTATTAAGGTTATTTTCTGAGTCCTAAAACATATAAGATTAAATTTTTATAGAAAAATTATTAAAGATTTTCAAGAACTATTGCATTTAATTCAAATTTTATTTTTGGTATCTTAAAATTTTATATAATAAAACATTGTAAAATTTATATTAGAATAGTTTAATAAAAAAAAGAATATATCATTTTATATAACATAATACATTTATTTTATTTTCAGAATCATGTTTTTGTAAATTTTATAATGTTTTATTATATAAAATTTAAAATATCAAAAATAAGATTTTTTATAAATTAAAATTTTGAATTAAGTACAATAGTTCTCAAGAACTTTTAATAATTTTTCTATAAAAATTTAATTTTATATACTTTAGAACTCAGAAAATAACCTTAATAAATTTCAATAAACATTTATAATACAGTTCAGAAATGTGTTATTATAAACAAGTTTTATTTATTTTTTATTATTTTTTATTTATTAAGACCTAAAGTGCTAAAAATAACCTCAACAAATTTATCAAATTTTCTAAAATTCTTAAATTATATGCTAATTGTTATATTAAACAATTTTACCTACTATGCAAGAACCTATTTGGATATAAAAAAATCATTGTTTTATATGTAGTTATGATTATTATTCAATTAGGTTAGACTATTATAAAAATCAAAATTTTAGTGATCATTGTTAGAAGAGTATATAAACTTGTAAATCATAACTATTTTATTATTAAAATTTGTAACCAAAAAAATATTTAATTTTTTAATTACATTAATAAAATAAATTTAAAAATATTTTAATAGTTTTAAAACTACATAATTCTAATATTATTAATAAGTTACAGAATTGAATTTGTTTTACTAAAGCAGAAATTAGAATATTTTAAAAGTACTAATAAAGTATTATAATAATAAAAATAACAGACAAAAATTTAAAAATCTTATATAGTATAAATTATATATAATACTGTACTATGATATTAAATTATATAATATATAATATTTCAAATTATGATGTATTATTATACTAATTGATCAATTAGAATGCAAACTTAGATATATCATAAAATTAAAGCAAACATTGTTCTTTTTAATTTAATATTATATATAATCTTATAAATAATATAGATAAAAAATTATTAAATCTTTTTTTATTAATATCTCAAATAGGTTTAGATACTTATTTTTTGTATTTTTGATATTATTTTTTTGTTTTGTTAAACTGATCTAAAAAGATTATATTTTATAATTTAATAAATTGAAATATAAAAATCTAATAAAATGAATAAGTTGTTAATCTTTAAGTAACAGTTTAGTGTTTAATTTATATAGACAATAAATTTTTAAAAATTATATCTGTATTATAATAATTGTTTTATAATTAGTTAAATTGATATATCTGTAATTTTTAGTTATACTATCTTGAATAGAAATTTAAGACATTTATACAAAATATAATATTATATATATATATAAATGTTAATAACTAATATTATATAAAACTTAGTAAATGAGAATAACAATCCTAGTGTAGTGGTTGGGTTGTCATCCTCTAAGTGGCAGGTCTAAAGTACAAATCCCACCTATGATGAAATTTGAAAATTATATCTGTGTTATAATAACTGTCTCCTGTTGATCAGTTGGCCTCATGTGACTGTTACTCAGATACACCAGGTCAGGTCTCTCTGACTTTGGGAGCCCAGGCATTTATGCAAAGTGTAATATTACATATATATAGAGGAATGCTTACTGGTATTGCATGAGACTTTGGTGCAAACCCATGATAAGACCATCGGATGTAGAAGACTTAGGAACCAAGGTGATAGAAACCTACTTGGAAATCTTTGAGTAAAGAGGTAGCATGAACTTTCAACAGTACCATTAGACTGGTTAAAGCCTATAAAACACTTTCATAAAAGCCAAAAATTAAAACCAGATGTCAAATATGTGTAGAGAAGCATATAACCAACTAGGCTGCCAGATTCATTAGAAGAAAAGAATACATAAATATACCATACTGGGCCATCTGGATTGGTAGTCTGAATAGAGACAGATGGTTCTGAGTTGTGACTAGTAAGGAATGATGAAGAAGATGCTAGAAAGATAGATACTAAGATTCTAGTAAACTTTATAAGGGAAAAAATAGTGTAATGTAGCAATTAAACAGATAACTCTTGTGATTGCAAGTGTTAAGTAACTATAGCATGTTGCATAAAACTAGGTTTATATGTGTAGGACATAAAGGCTCTAATAAGTTTTCTATCGAGAATAAAGTAGTTCTAAGGGTAATGATAAGCATCGGGAACTTAGATAGGTGTAACCTTGAGATGTTCTCATGATATAAGAAGGATTGCATATACAAAGAGTTTAAATAAGAAAGACCCCTAGTTGGCTTGCAGGTATGGCAACTAGTATAGAACTTATATAGCAATATGTAAGTGAACTACTTAAATTAGACACCAAAAGTGCATGTGTGACTAGTTGTAACCTCCAATGTAAGGGAGCCCTTGGAGGCACCTATTTCTTAACAAAACTTGAATAAAATATCACATTCCTAAGATAAGGACTTTAACTATAAAAAAAAAAAAAAAAATAAGACTTAGTAAACTCTTTCTGCAAATTCTTTACACAAATCTTAACTAAAAATTTGTCTGTACAAAAACATTTATAACTATTTATTTTATTAAATTAATTTGTTTTTGGCTCTTAAGTAAACTAGTTCAGTACTAAATTTTATATTTATTATAAAAGTTTTAAATTTTTAAAATTTAAACTCATTAATAAAAATGTACTGATGGTCTTTGGGCTTTAGAATTTACAATTTTAATTGTTAGACAAAAGTTACTGTCACAACCTACTTTATACTTCTAAACAAAAATGTAAAGTATATTTTCTTAGTTAAAACAAGTTTTAAACAAAGATTTTTGACCTAATATTGATTAAACTATAGCCAAATTTAATTTTTATTTTCTTATAAAAATTCTTTTTTACTTTTTGTTCTTACTTTAGTCTGCTCATTCTTATATGTTTTTTTATATAACATCAGATTATTTTTTTTTTTTTTTTTTTTTTTGGTATTAAGGTGACCTCTTTGGTCTTTTGACTTTTATTAATCACTTATCAGTATTGTGGTTCAATGAACCACTACAGGAGAGCATACAATTGGTTACATATGTAACTTT